TGGACTTTTATGTTTTCTATCAAAAATCGACTTATGGTAGGGTCGACAGGTGATCACAGATTTCCTTTATTTTGGACATAGATCTTCTAGTTTAGCCAGAAATGGACTTTTATGTTTTCACTCAAAAACCAAGTTTTGGTAGGAAATACAGGTGATCACAGATTTTGGCCCTAGCTTTTCTAATTTAGACAGAAAATGGACTTTTATGATTTGTCCCAAAAATCGAATTGTGGTAGGATCGACTGTTGATCACAGATTTCCTTTATTTTGGCCCTAGCTCTTCTAGTTTAGGCAGAAAATTGACTTTTATGTTTTCTATAAAAATCGACTTCTGGTAGCATCGACAGGTGATCACAGATTTCCTTTATTTTGGCCCTAGCTCTTCTAGTTTAGCCAGAAAATGGACTTTTATGTTTTCACTCAAAAATCGACTTCTGGTAGGATCGACAGGTGATCACAGATTTCCTTTATTTTGGACCTAGATTATCTAGTTTAGCCAGAAAATGGACCTTTTATGTTTTCACTCAAAAATCAACTTCTGGTAGGAAATACATGTGATCACAGATTTCCTTTAGTTTGGCCCTAGCTCGTCTAGTTTAGCCAGAAAATGGACTTTTATGTTTTCACTCAAAAATCAAGTTTTGGTAGGAAATACAGGTGATCACAGATTTCCTTTATTTTGGCCCTAGCTCGTCTAGTTTAGCCAGAAAATGGACTTTAATGTTTTCTCTCAAAAAACGACTTCTGGTAGGATCGACAGGTGATCACAGATTTCCTTTATTTTGGCCCTAGCTCTTCTAGTTTAGCCAGAAAATGGACTTTTATGTTTTCTCTCAAAAATCGACTTCTGGTAGGATCGACAGGTGATCACAGATTTCCTTTATTTTGGCCCTAGCTCGTCTAGTTTAGCCAGAAAATGGACTTTTATGTTTTCACACAAAAATCGAGGTTTGACAGGAAATACAGGTGATCACAGGTTTCCTTTATTTTGGTCCTAGCTCTTCTAGTTTAGACATAAAATGGACTTTTATGTTTTGTCTCAAAAATCGAATTCTGGTAGGAAATACAGGTGATCACAGATTTCCTTTATTTTGGCCCTAGCTCGTCTAGTTTAGCCAGAAATTGGACTTTTATGTTTTCTCTAAAAATCGACTTCTGGTAGGATCGACAGGTGATCACAGATTTGCTTTATTTTGGACCTAGATCATCTAGTTTAGCCAGAAAATGGACCTTTTATGTTTTCACTCAAAAATCGACTTCTGGTAGGAAACACATGTGATCACAGATTTCCTTTAGTTTGGACCTAGCTCGTCTAGTTTAGCCAGAAAATGGACTTTTATGTTTTCACTCAAAAATCAAGTTTTGGTAGGAAATACAGGTGATCACAGATTTCCTTTATTTTGGCCCTAGCTCGTCTAGTTTAGCCAGAAAATGGACTTTAATGCTTTCTCTCAAAAAACGACTTCTGGTAGGATCGACAGGTGATCACAGATTTCCTTTATTTTGGCCCTAGCTCGTCTAGTTTAGCCAGAAAATGGACTTTTATGTTTTCACACAAAAATCGAGTTTTGACAGGAAATACAGGTGATCACAGGTTTCATTTATTTTGGTCCTAGCTCTTCTAGTTTAGACATAAAATGGACTTTTATGTTTTGTCTCAAAAATCGAATTCTGATTCTGAATCGAAATCTGATCACAGATTTCCTTTATTTTGGCCCTAGCTCGTCTAGTTTAGCCAGAAAATGGACTTTAATGTTTTCACTCGAAAACCAAGTTTTGGTAGGAAATACAGGTGATCACAGATTTCCTTTATTTTAGCCCTAGCTCGTCTAGTTTAGCCAGAAAATGGACTTTTATGTTTTCTATCAAAAATCGACTTCTTGTAGGATCGACAGGTGATCACAGATTTCCTTTATTTTGAAACTAGCTCTTCTAGTTTAGCCAGAAAATGGACTTTTATGTTTTCTCTCAAAAAACGACTACTTGTAGGATCGACAGGTGATCACAGATTTCCTTTATTTTGGCCCTAGCTCTTCTAGTTTAGACAGAAAATGGACTTTTATGTTCTGTCCCAAAAATCGAATTCTGGTAGGAAATACAGGTGATCACAGATTTCCTTTATTTTGGCCCTAGCTCTTCTAGTTTAGCCAGAAAATGGACTTTTATGTTTTCTATCAAAATTCGGCTTCTGGTAGGATTGACAGGTGATCACAGATTTCCTTTATTTTGGCCCTAGCTCGTCTAGTTTAGCCAGAAAATGGACTTTTATGTTTTCACCCAAAAATCGAGTTTTGACAGGAAATACAGGTGATTACAGATTTCCTTTATTTTGGCCCTAGCTCTTTTAGTTTAGACATAAAATGGACTTTTATGTTTTGTCTCAAAAATCGAATTCTGGTAGGAAATACAGGTGATCACAGATTTCCTTTATTTTGGCCCTAGCTCGTCTAGTTTAGCCAGAAATTGGACTTTTATGTTTTCTCTCAAAAATCGACTTCTTGTAGGATCGACAGGTGATCACAGATTTCCTTTATTTTGACCCTAGCTCTTCTAGTTTAGCCAGAAAATGGACTTTTATGTTTTCTCTCAAAAAACGACTACTTGTAGGATCGACAGGTGATCACAGATTTCCTTTATTTTGGCCCTAGCTCTTCTAGTTTAAACAGAAAATGGACTTTTATGTTCTGTCCCAAAAATCGAATTCTGGTAGGAAATACAGGTGATCACAGATTTCCTTTATTTTGGCCCTAGCTCTTCTAGTTTAGCCAGAAAATGGACTTTTATGTTTTCTATCAAAAATCGACTTCTGGTAGGATTGACAGGTGATCACAGATTTCCCTTATTTTGGCCCTAGCTCGTCTAGTTTAGCCAGAAAATGGACTTTTATGTTTTCACCCAAAAATCGAGTTTTGACAGGAAATACAGGTGATCACAGATTTCCTTTATTTTGGCCCTAGCTCTTTTAGTTTAGACATAAAATGGACTTTTATGTTTTGTCTCAAAAATCGAATTCTGGTAGGAAATACTGGTGATAACAGATTTCCTTTATTTTGGCCCTAGCTCGTCTAGTTTAGCCAGAAATTGGACTTTTATGTTTTCTCTAAAAATCGACTTCTGGTAGGATCGACAGGTGATCACAGAATTCCTTTATTTTGGACCTAGATCATCTAGTTTAGCCAGAAAATGGACCTTTTATGTTTTCACTCAAAAATCGACTTCTGGTAGGAAACACATGTGATCACAGATTTCCTTTAGTTTGGCCCTAGCTCGTCTAGTTTAGCCAGAAAATGGACTTTTATGTTTTCACTCAAAAATCAAGTTTTGGTAGGAAATACAGGTGATCACAGATTTCCTTTATTTTGGCCCTAGCTTGTCTAGTTTAGCCAGAAAATGGACTTTAATGTTTTCTCTCAAAAAACGACTTCTGGTAGGATCGACAGGTGATCACAGATTTCCTTTATTTTGGCCCTAGCTCGTCTAGTTTAGCCAGAAAATGGACTTTAATGTTTTCACTCGAAAACCAAGTTTTGGTAGGATTGACAGGATGGCCCTAGCTCGTCTAGTTTAGCCAGAAATTGGACTTTTATGTTTTCTCTCAAAAATCGACTTCTTGTAGGATCGACAGGTGATCACAGATTTCCTTTATTTTGACCCTAGCTCTTCTAGTTTAGCCAGAAAATGGACTTTTATGTTTTCTCTCAAAAAACGACTACTTGTAGGATCGACAGGTGATCACAGATTTCCTTTATTTTGGCCCTAGCTCTTCTAGTTTAAACAGAAAATGGACTTTTATGTTCTGTCCCAAAAATCGAATTCTGGTAGGAAATACAGGTGATCACAGATTTCCTTTATTTTGGCCCTAGCTCTTCTAGTTTAGCCAGAAAATGGACTTTTATGTTTTCTATCAAAAATCGACTTCTGGTAGGATTGACAGGTGATCACAGATTTCCCTTATTTTGGCCCTAGCTCGTCTAGTTTAGCCAGAAAATGGACTTTTATGTTTTCACCCAAAAATCGAGTTTTGACAGGAAATACAGGTGATCACAGATTTCCTTTATTTTGGCCCTAGCTCTTTTAGTTTAGACATAAAATGGACTTTTATGTTTTGTCTCAAAAATCGAATTCTGGTAGGAAATACAGGTGTTGGTGAACAACTTTAATATTTATATTTTGTATTATTTTATTTGCATTAATTTGTTATTTTTTCTTTTTAACAATTTAAGTTATTTTTTTTGAATTTCATTGCTAGTGTGAACAATGCACATAAAAGCTTACGCACTTTTTTGTTTAATTTTGGTAGTTCTATGCAGATTTACTTAAATGAGATTTATTTTCTCTCATTAAAGTAAATGCAGTAAAAGAAGTGCGAAAAATACTGGTTTTTTGCTACGCACTTTTTACCATATTCGCATGTATGTAAATATGTATGTTATATGCGTAAGCTATATTTAAATATTGATACGCACTTTTTTTGGCTCTTTTTAAATTGAAATTATTATTAAAACTTACTTGCTTTTACTGCCTCGCTGCGAACAGAAGATTTTTCATACATTTAATTATATTTAATTAGTTTTCAAATATTTAATAAAATTAAATAACGGTTTAAATAAATACCCTACATAAGAGTTTAAGGATTTTTATTCCGTTTAAATAAAAAATATTGAAAATTATTTTAACTTAGAAAAGTTAAAATCTCGTACATTATTTGGTGCCGAAACCCGGGACTGATGAATAATTGTGTGCTATTTGGAGTAACGAATTGGAATCTTATTGCCCTTAGAACTGCTTGCTTTGCGATTGGAACTTGGCTCTAGAACTTCTTTGGAAAAATCGCTTGTAGTCTTGAAGATATTTTGAAAAGTGAAACTTGCTGCAACGAATAAAATAAGGTTTGGAACTCTGCGTTACAGTTACCTTAATTTGTGGTTTCTGGAAAACTGTATGTATGCATAACATTTTGTATTATACAATACTGAAAATAAAAAAGTGTTTTGAACAAAATGGCGGATATTCACCATCTTATTGAGGATCAAAAAGATTTATTTTTAAATTTAAAACGTACTGCTAGGTTATATAATTCAAGACAGCATAAAACGCATGGCTTCGCACAATCTGTTTTAGACGAAATAGAATCAAATTTTTTGCAATTTAAAGACGGGAATACCCAATTATGCGCTGTAGTCCGTGACAATACTATTAATACAGAAAATATTCCGTATTTCGAAGACGATGTTTATTATCAATTTCAAGACGAGTTTCTTACCCTTAAAAGCCAATTGCTCGATTTCATGGATTCTTCTGTTACTCGTTCTCCTGGAATTCAGTCCAGTACGTTTGCTGGTCCCTCTCATTCTAGAAATGAAACCTTTTCGCTTCAGGCTCGTTTGCCGAAGATTGATTTGCCAGTTTTTAGTGGTGATTACCTCACTTGGATGTCTTATCAGGACATGTTCGTTTCGTTAGTCCATAATAATTCTGGGCTAACTGATGTTCAAAAATTTTGTTTTTTGAAAAATTCTTGTAAAGGAACTCCTTTGGATATCGTGAACGAATATCCAGCAACGGATTCAAGCTACGTTTTAGCATGGACCGCTCTACAGAATAGATATCATAATAAAAGAAAAATAGTTGATACTATTTTTAAAAAACTGTTTGCTATACCTTCGTCTGATGGCTCTTCCAAAAGCATTCAGACGATTTTAGACACAACACGAACTAGTATTGCCCTACTACGTACTTTAGAAATAAACACCGAAGGTGAGCATGCTATGCTTATTTATATGACAGTAAATAAGCTAGATGTACAAACCCGAAAGGAATGGGAGCAATCGCTTAATGCCTCGACTCAAATCCCTCCTATTGAAGATTTGTTCAAATTTTTGGAATCAACTTTTCGAACATTAGAAACTATTTCTGATCAGACTGATTCAAGCCCTAATGTTCCTTTTTCGAAACCAAAAACCCCTCAACATCAAAATAAAAGTAGAAACAATTTACGACGTTATGTAAATGCTGCTTCCACAAGTACCGACTACAACTGCCCCTGCTGCAATAAGCGTCACCTTCTTTTCAAGTGTTTCAAGTTTTCTGCTTTACCATCTAGTGAAAAAAGAGATTTTTTGAATTCAAAGCGAATATGTCGAAATTGTTTAACCCCAGGCCACTTTAGTAACAAATGTCATGTAGCTTCTCGCTGTCAAGTCTGCCAACAAAACCACCATACCACTGTTCATAATGAGTATTTTATAAATCATGTTTCTAATACTCCGACCCCTGAACCTGTTATACCTTCTCAAACATCCTCGTCTTCTCAAGGTATTGAAAACGTTACCGCTCATGTCGTTGACAATAGTAAAACATCTAACAGGAGGAAAAGGCCCCAAGTTCTCCTCGCTACGATGCGTGTTGTTTTAAAAACCCCTCAGGGAGATTTTGTTTTGCGTGCTCTTCTTGATCAATGTGCTCAAGCAACCTTTATAACCAAAAAGGCTGCAGATGCCTTAAACTTATCTTATAAAAGGAACTTTGTGGAAATATGCGGTGTAGGTGGAAACCAATCTACTATTTCAAAGCAATACGTTAATTTTGCAATATTCTCAAGAATCGAAACAAATTTTAAAATAGATTGCGAGGCTTTGGTTCTTCCGAAAATAACGGCATATCAACCTATGGCTATAAACGAAACATTATTACCGGATTTAAAGAAATTTTCATTAGCTGATCCTTATTTTTCGAAACCTGGTGAAATTGACCTTTTGTTAGGAGGAGATGTATACGGAGATATCATATTACCTCAGCAACAAAAATTTGAAAGTGGTTTATTCTTACAACTCACACATTTCGGTTGGATAGTTTCTGGCCCCTCACATGATAACTCATCTGAGCACATCATCACAGTAAATGTTTGTTCATTAGATAAGCAATTGCTGTCCTTTTGGGAACAAGAAGAATTGCTGGAAAAAAGAGCTTTGACAGAAGAAGAAATCCTTTGCGAACAACATTTCAAAAGCACTACTTCTCGTGATTCATCTGGGCGTTACACCGTATCACTGCCATTTAAATCATTGCTTAAAGGCCTCCCGCTTCCAGTCTTTGGTCATACGGATTATGCAGCACTTTCTCGTTTAAAGAATGTTGAGTCAAAATGTAAATTGAATAAGAACTTTGGAAAACTTTATCTAGATTTTATGAAAGAGTATGAATGTCTCGGACATATGGAAAAGGTCGGTACCTATCCACGTGATTTAGAAAAAAATGGTTTCTTTTTGCCTCATCATGGTGTGTTAAGAGAGAGTAGTTCTACTACTAAATTGAGGGTAGTTTTTGATGGTAGCTGTAAAAGGTCTGCTCAATCTTCCTTGAATGAGGAACTAGCACCTGGTCCTGCATTGCAAAATGATTTGCCCACAATTATAAATCGGTGGAGACGTTTTAAAATTGGGTTTCGGGCAGATTTGGAGAAGATGTTCCGACAAATACTTGTGGTACAGGAACAACGAAAGTTTCAACAAATTTTGTGGAGAAATAGTGGCTCTGAACAGATATCAATTTATAAGCTCTCAACGGTTACTTATGGTACTACACCCGCTCCTTTTCTTTCGATTAGGGTTTTACAACAACTAGCGTTGGACGAAAAGGAAAAATATCCGATGGCATGTAATGTGCTCAATTCAGATACTTATGTCGATGACGTAATTTCTGGAGCTGATAGTCTATCTGAAGCTTACCATTTGCATACTCAATTATGTAGTTTACTTAATGAAGGCAAGTTTAATTTACGTAAATGGACAACAAACTCGAAGGAATTGCTAGAATTGATTCCTGTAGACTACAGAGAAAAATCTGATATATTTGAACTAAATCAACCTAATACCGTAAAGGCTCTTGGACTCGAGTGGAACACGATAGACGACTGCTTTTCATTTAAGATCAATATTGAAGATACATCAGTAGTTACCAAAAGAAGTTTACTCTCAGACTCAGCAAAACTTTATGACCCTTTAGGCTGGCTTTCCCCTACTACAATTCTTGCTAAAATTGAATTTCAAAATTTGTGGTTGCTTGGCATTGAATGGAATGATCGCTTACCTGACGCTATGCAAAAAAGATGGTTAACATACCGCGAAAATCTAAAGTTTCTTGAAAGAATTAAAATTCCTCGTTGGATCGGAACGTTTAAATGTGGTTCAATTGAAATTCATGGTTTTTCCGATTCATCTAAGTTGGCTTACGCGGCTGCTGTCTACGCTAAGACTATTTCAGATTTGGGTACAAAAGTGTATTTAATACAAGCGAAAACTAAAGTAGGTCCTATAAAGCGGTTAACTATACCTCGAATGGAATTATGTGCTGCTACTTTATTGGCTAAATTAGTTGACAGAATAACTTCTTCACTTGATCAAGATATTTCAAATGTTTATTATTGGACTGATAGTACAACTGTACTTTCGTGGATACGTGGTCAGTCATCTAAGTGGCCCGTATATGTTGGAAACAGAGTGGCAGAAATCCAACGCAGATGTCATGCTTCTCAATGGCGATACATATCTACACGTGAAAATCCTGCTGACTGCGCTTCCCGTGGTATATCTTCGAATGAATTGGTTGAACATGAACTATGGTGGCATGGCCCTAAATGGCTATCGGAACCTGCAGAAAATTGGCCAAAACAACCGAAACTAAATCTAAATGAAATGGATGAAATTTCTACTGAACCAACTTTAAATATGCACTCGGTTGTAGCTGAAATAAAACAATATCCAGAAATATTAACAAGATTTTCTTCACTTTGCAAATTGATACGTGTTACTGCATACATATTTCGTTTTAAACACAATACTCAAAACTATAAACATTCACAAATAAAAGGTAACGGTAAGATGACAGGGTTTCTTTCAACCGAAGAACTAAAATTTGCTCGTTTAAGGCTTGTTAAACTTTCACAAGAGGTGGATTTTTTGCAAGAGATTTCTGAACTTCAAAAGAGAGGTCAAATTATAAAAAATAGCGCTTTAGCTCAACTTTGCCCATTTTTTGACTCCTCTCAAATACTTAGAGTTGGCGGTAGAATTCAAAATTCTGACCTTGATTATTGTTCTAAACACCCAATTTTACTTAAAAAGCAAAATCCTTTGACTAATTTATTATTTCTAGATGCACACATAAAAACTTTACATGGCGGTTTGATCCAAATGCAAGCTTACGTCCTACGGGAATATTGGATAATATCAAGTAGAAGTATTGCTAAACGTGTCTTGCGAAAATGTATAACGTGTTTCAAATATAACGCAAAGGCAGCCCAGCAGATGATGGGAAATCTCCCTAGTGTTCGTCTTAAACCTGCTCGTCCGTTTAAGCACAGTGGAGTTGACTATGCCGGTCCAATTGCTATAAAACAATCCACTGCAAGAAACTCAGTAACTACAAAGGGCTACATTTGTTTGTTTATATGTATGACTACGAAAGCTTTACACTTGGAAGCAGTAACAAACCTGTCAACCGATGCTTTTTTGGCCGCTTTCAGGCGTTTCGTGTCCCGCCGTGGCCCTTGTACCGACTTGTACTCAGACTGTGGTACGAACTTTGTTGGAGCTAATAAGGAGCTACAAATTCTTTATAATCGCAGCAAATCATCGATTTCATATGAGATAAGCGACTGCCTGGCCGCAAATGGTACGAAATGGCATTTTATACCTCCAGCCTCTCCAAACTTTGGTGGTCTTTGGGAGGCTGGCGTGAAGTCTACAAAACACCACTTAAAGAGAGTGATGCAGAACCGTATTTTGACATTTGAGGAGCTTACAACGCTTTTAGCCCAGATTGAGAGCTGTTTGAATTCCAGACCCTTGTGCCCTCTAAATTCCGAACCATCTGACTGCAATGCGCTCACCCCAGCTCATTTCTTGATTGGGGAACCTACTCTATGTGTTCCGGAAGAAGATTTACTGGATGTCAACATTGATCGACTAAATAGATGGAAAACCGTCGAAAAGCTGAAGCAACATTTTTGGCGACGTTGGTGTAACGAATGGCTGTGTCGACTTCAAGCTAGGCCCAAATGGCTCAAAATAACTGAAAACCCTAAAATTGGTGATTTAGTGGTCGTATTCGATGAACGAGGTGCCCCTGGAGAATGGCCGCTTGCCCGAATCCAAGATATTCATCCCGGCAAAGATGGTTGTGTAAGGGTCGCCCAATGTCTAAAGTTGCCCTGTTACCTACAAATGATAGCTTTAATGCCGAAGAAAATGATTACAACTTTAAACTACATGGTGATGATGATTCTTCCTCGGTTTAAGCACTGTCGTCCTTAGTGGGGGAGAATGTTGGTGAACAACTTTAATATTTATATTTTGTATTATTTTATTTGCATTAATTTGTTATTTTTTCTTTTTAACAATTTAAGTTATTTTTTTTGAATTTCATTGCTAGTGTGAACAATGCACATAAAAGCTTACGCACTTTTTTGTTTAATTTTGGTAGTTCTATGCAGATTTACTTAAATGAGATTTATTTTCTCTCATTAAAGTAAATGCAGTAAAAGAAGTGCGAAAAATACTGGTTTTTTGCTACGCACTTTTTACCATATTCGCATGTATGTAAATATGTATGTTATATGCGTAAGCTATATTTAAATATTGATACGCACTTTTTTTGGCTCTTTTTAAATTGAAATTATTATTAAAACTTACTTGCTTTTACTGCCTCGCTGCGAACAGAAGATTTTTCATACATTTAATTATATTTAATTAGTTTTCAAATATTTAATAAAATTAAATAACGGTTTAAATAAATACCCTACATAAGAGTTTAAGGATTTTTATTCCGTTTAAATAAAAAATATTGAAAATTATTTTAACTTAGAAAAGTTAAAATCTCGTACAACAGGTGATCACAGATTTCCTTTATTTTGGCCCTAGCTCTTCTAGTTTAGCCAGAAAATGGACTTTTATGTTTTCTATCAAAAATCGACTTCTGGTAGGATTGACAGGTGATCACAGATTTCCCTTATTTTGGCCCTAGCTCGTCTAGTTTAGCCAGAAATTGGACTTTTATGTTTTCACACAAAAATCGAGTTTTGACAGGAAATACAGGTGATCACAGGTTTCCTTTATTTTGGTCCTAGCTCTTCTAGTTTAGACATAAAATGGACTTTTATGTTTTGTCTCAAAAATCGAATTCTGATTCTGAATCGAAATCTGATCACAGATTTCCTTTATTTTGGCCCTAGCTCGTCTAGTTTAGCCAGAAAATGGACTTTAATGTTTTCACTCGAAAACCAAGTTTTGGTAGGAAATACAGGTGATCACAGATTTCCTTTATTTTGGCCCTAGCTCGTCTAGTTTAGCCAGAAAATGGACTTTTATGTTTTCTATCAAAAATCGACTTCTTGTAGGATCGACAGGTGATCACAGATTTCCTTTATTTTGAAACTAGGTCTTCTAGTTTAGCCAGAAAATGGACTTTTATATTTTCTCTCAAAAAACGACTACTTATAGGATCGACAGGTGATCACAGATTTCCTTTATTTTGGCCCTAGCTCTTCTAGTTTAGACAGAAAATGGACTTTTATGTTCTGTCCCAAAAATCGAATTCTGGTAGGAAATACAGGTGATCACAGATTTCCTTTATTTTGGCCCTAGCTCTTCTAGTTTAGCCAGAAAATGGACTTTTATGTTTTCTATCAAAAATCGCCTTCTGGTAGGATTGACAGGTGATCACAGATTTCCTTTATTTTGGCCCTAGCTCGTCTAGTTTAGCCAGAAAATGGACTTTTATGTTTTCACCCAAAAATCGAGTTTTGACAGGAAATACAGGTGATCACAGATTTCCTTTATTTTGGCCCTAGCTCTTCTAGTTTAGACATAAAATGGACTTTAATGTTTTCTCTCAAAAAACGACTTCTGGTAGGATCGACAGGTGATCACAGATTTCCTTTATTTTGGCCCTAGCTCGTCTAGTTTAGCCAGAAATTGGACTTTTATGTTTTCTCTCAAAAATCGACTTCTGGTAGGATCGACAGGTGATCACAGAATTCCTTTATTTTGGACCTAGATCATATAGTTTAGCCAGAAAATGGACCTTTTATGTTTTCACTCAAAAATCGACTTCTGGTAGGAAATACATGTGATCACAGATTTCCTTTAGTTTGGCCCTAGCTCGTCTAGTTTAGCCAGAAAATGGACTTTTATGTTTTCACTCAAGAATCAAGTTTTGGTAGGAAATACAGGTGATCACAGATTTCCTTTATTTTGGCCCTAGCTCGTCTAGTTTAGCCAGAAAATGGACTTTAATGTTTTCTCTCAAAAAACGACTTCTGGTAGGATCGACAGGTGATCACAGATTTCCTTTATTTTGGCCCTAGCTCGTCTAGTTTAGCCAGAAAATGGACTTTTATGTTTTCACACAAAAATCGAGTTTTGACAGGAAATACAAGTGATCACAGGTTTCCTTTATTTTGGTCCTAGCTCTTCTAGTTTAGACATAAAATGGACTTTTATGTTTTGTCTCAAAAATCGAATTCTGATTCTGAATCGAAATCTGATCACAGATTTCCTTTATTTTGGCCCTAGCTCGTCTAGTTTAGCCAGAAAATAGACTTTAATGTTTTCACTCGAAAACCAAGTTTTGGTAGGAAATACAGGTGATCACAGATTTCCTTTATTTTGGCCCTAGCTCGTCTAGTTTAGCCAGAAAATGGACTTTTATGTTTTCTATCAAAAATCGACTTCTTGTAGGATCGACAGGTGATCACAGATTTCCTTTATTTTGAAACTAGCTCTTCTAGTTTAGCCAGAAAATGGACTTTTATGTTTTCTCTCAAAAAACGACTACTTGTAGGATCGACAGGTGATCACAGATTTCCTTTATTTTGGCCCTAGCTCTTCTAGTTCAGACAGAAAATGGACTTTTATGTTCTGTCCCAAAAATCGAATTCTGGTAGGAAATACAGGTGATCACAGATTTCCTTTATTTTGGCCCTAGCTCTTCTAGTTTAGCCAGAAAATGGACTTTTATGTTTTCTATCAAAAATCGACTTCTGGTAGGATTGACAGGTGATCACAGATTTCCTTTATTTTGGCCCTAGCTCGTCTAGTTTAGCCAGAAAATGGACTTTTATGTTTTCACCCAAAAATCGAGTTTTGACAGGAAATACAGGTGATCACAGATTTCCTTTATTTTGGCCCTAGCTCTTCTAGTTTAGACATAAAATGGACTTTTATGTTTTGTCTCAAAAATCGAATTCTGGTAGGAAATACAGGTGATCACAGATTTCCTTTATTTTGGCCCTGGCTCGTCTAGTTTAGCCAGAAATTGGACTTTTATGTTTTCTCTCAAAAATCGACTTCTGGTAGGATCGACAGGTGATCACAGAATTCCTTTATTTTGGACCTAGATCATCTAGTTTAGCCAGAAAATGGACCTTTTATGTTTTCACTCAAAAATCGACTTCTGGTAGGAAATACATGTGATCACAGATTTCCTTTATTTTGGCCCTAGCTCGTCTAGTTTAGCCAGAAAATGGACTTTTATGTTTTCACTCAAAAATCAAGTTTTGGTAGGAAATACAGGTGATCACAGATTTCCTTTATGTTGGCCCTAGCTCGTCTAGTTTAGCCAGAAAATGGACTTTAATGTTTTCTCTCAAAAAACGACTTCTGGTAGGATCGACAGGTGATCACAGATTTCCTTTATTTTGGCCCTAGCTCTTCTAGTTTAGCCAGAAAATGGACTTTTATGTTTTCTCTCAAAAATCGACTTCTGGTAGGATCGACGGGTGATCATAGATTTCCTTTATTTTGGCCCTAGCTCGTCTAGTTTAGCCAGAAAATGGACTTTTATGTTTTCACACAAAAATCAAGTTTTGGTAGGAAATACAGGTGATCACAGGTTTCCTTTATTTTGGCCCTAGCTCGTCTAGTTTAGCCAGAAATTGGACTTTTATGTTTTCTCTCAAAAATCGACTTCTTGTAGGATCGACAGGTGATCACAGATTTCCTTTATTTTGGCCCTAGCTCGTCTAGTTTAGCCAGAAAATGGACTTTAATGTTTTCTCTCAAAAAACGACTTCTGGTAGGATCGACAGGTGATCACAGATTTCCTTTATTTTGGCCCTAGCTCTTCTAGTTTAGACATAAAATGGACTTTTATGTTTTGTCTCAAAAATCGAATTCTGGTAGGAAATACAGGTGATCACAGATTTCCTTTATTTTGGCCCTAGCTCGTCTAGTTTAGCCAGAAATTGGACTTTTATGTTTTCTCTCAAAAATCGACTTCTTGTAGGATCGACAGGTGATCACAGATTTCCTTTATTTTGGCCCTAGCTCGTCTAGTTTAGCCAGAAAATGGACTTTTATGTTCTGTCCCATAGGAAATACAGGTGATCACAGATTTCCTTTATTTTGGCCCTAGCTTTCTAGTTTAGCCAGAAAATGGACTTTTATGTTTTCACTCAAAAATCAAATTTTGATAGGAAATACAGGTCATCACAGATTTCCTTTATTTTGGCCCTAGCTCGTCTAGTTTAGCCAGAAAATGGACTTTTATGTTTTCACTCGAAAACTGAGTTTTGGTAGGAAATACAGGTGATCACAGATTTCCTTTATTTTGGCCCTAGCTTGTCTAGTTTAGTCACAAAATGGACTTTTATGATTTCACTCAAAAATCAAGTTTTGGTAGGAAATACAGGTGATCACAGATTTCCTTTATTTTGGCCCTAGCTCTTCTAGTTTAGCCAGAAAATGGACTTTTACGTTTTCTCTCAAAAAACGACTTCATCGACAGGTGATCACAGATTTCCTTTATTTTGGCCCTAGCTCTTCTAGTTTAGACAGAAAATGGACTTTTATGTTTTGTTCCAAAAATCGAATTCTGGTAGGAAATACAGGTGATCACAGATTTCCTTTACTTTGGCCCTAGCTCGTCTAGTTTAGCCAGAAAATGGACTTTTATGTTTTCTATCAAAAATCGACTTCTTGTAGGATCGACAGGTGATCACAGATTTCCTTTATTTTGACCCTAGCTCGTCTAGTTTAGCCAGAAAATGGACTTTTATGTTTTGTCCCAAAAATCGAATTCTGGTAGGAAATACAGGTGATCACAGATTTCCTTTATTTTGGCCCTAGCTCGTCTAGTTTAGCCAGAAAATGGACTTTTATGTTTTCTCTCAAAAAACGAGTTT